ATCCAATTATCCTACTACCCTTCTATCTAGTTCTTCAAAAGCCCCTTGGGAGATACTGAGGGTCCTCTATTCTCATGGACTTCAGTGGTATTTTAGAGTACTGCAGTGGTATATTGAGGTCACTGCTACTCTTCACCTTCTGCTTCCTCCCTTGCTAAACTCAGCAGCAGGGATGAGCAGGGTTTGCGCACACTCCCTGGGCTCTGGAGTTGAGTGAAAGTAGTGGCTCCAGTTAGAGCTCACACCAATCAGCTGATGAGCTCATACAGTTCACTGCGTGGGTGAAGCTCTGGCAGGAGCCTGCACAAACCAGGCTGGGAGAAGGTACAGAGAAGGATGCTGAGTGGTATGAAGGAGTTTACATATGAGGAAAGACTAAAGATGCTAAGTCTACTCAGTTTAGAAAAAAAGATGTTTGAGGGGGGACTTTATAAGGGTTTACAAATACTAAACAGCAAAGAGAAAGTAAATAGGTATTTACTATTTACTGTCTCTCTCACTACAAGAACTAAGGGTTGCAAAATGAAACCAATAGGTAGTCAGTTTAAAACTAACAAAAGGAAGCTCCTTTTTACACAGCGTGTCATTAAACTACGCAACTCATTGCCAGCAGATGTTGTGGAAGCTGACAGTTTAGCCAATTCAAAAGGGATTGGGCAAATTCTTGGAGGAAAGGGACATCATTAACTATTGAGCATGTGAGTTACGGATACAGCTTCTGAATCAGGACACTTTAAACCTTAAATGCTAGTGGCTGCAAGTGAGAAAGGAGTAAGATGGACCTACCGTTTGACCAGTAAATGGCAGTTTTTATGTCCTTACGTATTTAGCACCTTACCTAAAGAAGTGATACAGAGGAAACTCTAAGTACAGATGGTTAGACTTTATGATTTCTCCACACTTAAGAACAGCCTGTGTAAGCTCTGCTGAATGTATTATGGAACAGTACTCTTATTTGGGATGAGGTGGGGTGGAAGTAAGAGAATTTTCTCACAAAATTAACCCCCCCAAACTCTCTCGCTTTTCTTCCCTTAGTGTATCTAGCACATTGAACACAGTCCTCATGAATGAGTGAACATAGTGCGAAAACTTGCTGGAACTAGCTGAGGTGCCACTGTGAGAATCCGCATCATGGGAGTCCGCACCTCTGCTATGGCACTGGTCTTCTCAGTGGCTGAGTACTGTACCCCCCTGGGCTGCTAGCACTCATACCAAATGTGTGGATGGTCCAGTTAAATTCTGCAATGCATGCTATCACTGCAACCCTGAAATCTATGCTAATTCGGTGGTTACAGGTGTTGACCCATATTGCTCCTCCAGACATTCGCCATGATGAAGCTACATACAGAGAGGTGATCTGTACGAATGACAATCCAGACCCTCCCCATCCCATAGAGATTTACAGCTTGGTGTCTCAGAAACTTTTGTGGACATGTGTTCAAGCCCTTTAAGGATATCAACAGTGCAGCAGCTTGGAGGAAAGTATGGCATTAAGCCACCATTCAGTACAAACATGTAATTTACAACTCAACAATAAAGCCTCCTGGTTTTGACCTTCCACGAAAAACACAGAAGTTTCTAAATTGGATCCGAACTGGACATGGCTGCTGTGGTCACTGGATGCACAGGTGGTGTATTAGGAGTTCTGCAGAATGTGGCAACCCTGATCAAATTATGGATACTCTGCCCTCTGTACAAATTGGATGGTGACGTTGCAGAGCTACATTTCCTTTCCTCAAGAGCATTGGACTGGTTAACTGAGCTTAAACTGAACTTTTAATTGTTGTTCCAAGTCAGCCATATGAAAGAAGAAGTCCTCCCTCACGTCTTTAAAAGAAAAGCTATCTTCAAACTAAGAAACTGTCAAACAAACCTAACATATCCTGCTCTGTGATATAATCAATGAGCCACTAAGCTGACTAGTAATGTCCATGTACATTAACCACTTGATCTGTTTTAATCAAATAAAGGAGACTTAAAGAACATAGCAGAGGTTGACTGCCACTATTCAAACAGAATATAGGAAATGATTATGCCTCCCAGACCATTAACTGTTTTTCAACCTGTCTGTGAAAGTAAAATTTTGAACCACAGTCCCCTGCCTATATTACAACAAACAAAGCAGGTAATATAAAGTTGATAGGAACTGGGACCTTGGTTGTTGAAAACTCTGGCTTTTCAAATAGTAATATTTGCATACCCCAATCATCATTTTTAAATTCCAAAATGGAATTAACACAAATTTGCTATCACGTTGTCACATGGAACATTTTGAACACAGGATTGCTTAGACTTGAAATCCCAGACTATTAGAAATAGAAAGTCAAGTCATATATTGTTAAAAAGTAAATTTACCCTAGATTTGGACTAGAGGTTCAGATAAGACTTACAGTTTCAATATCACAAGAGATAAATGATCACCAAATATTAAGACAGATAATCATCAAAGACCTACATTTTTAAAAAAAAGGATGGGCTTGCAGTTACAGTGACTGCATATGCAAATGTGGTGGTCAAACACCCAGGCTTACATTTTCAGATGTGACTAATGAATTTGGGTGACATGCTCAAGATTCTTCATAGAGACCTTATTTTTAAAAGTCTGGTTTCCATCACTTTCAGGAAATCAGGTTCCCCCATAAGCAGTTTCAAGCTGGTCACTCCAAAACTACTGCTAATTCTAGTTTTCTTTTTACAAATTAGGCCTATACTTTTTTGCTGCTTTGTGTGAATATTAATCATTTGAAAAGGTATATTCACTTACCAAAACTCAATTTCTCAAATCCAAATTAATTACATGGGCTACAACTGTTATGTGGGTGGATAGCTTTAGAAATGTGCTATAGATAATAATGATTACTATAAAGATGGCTGGTATAGAAATACTTTTTTTAATATTGTAGTGCTGAGGTGTTCCAGTCATGAATCAAGGCCTGATTATGCCAAGCACTATACAAACACATAACAAAAAAGACAACTGCTGCTTCAAAGAGCTAAAAGGTAGATAGCAACTGTAATTTTATTCAACAAAAGAGAGAGATTCTCTTTTTCTCTCCTTCCTTTTTCTCTCACTGTAACCTGTGGAATTATTGGATTTTATATTATCTGTGGAATAAGCAACAGTACCTTGACCCAACTGACTCTGTACCTCCTCATTCACTGGTATTTTCACAGTACTAATTCTTTAAATACACAGTTCATGTACACGTTTCACTTTTGTTTTCTGAGGAGGACACGAAAGGAAAAACTATTGAAAATCTGGCCTGGCTTTATATATTCAGTTCTTACAATTTACATTTTAGAAGCCAAGTGTATCTTTTCAGAGGACAGTATGTACCATTTCTAGAGCAGAGATATACAGAAACAGGCCTTACAGATGGAGCTGATCTGACTATGAGTTATAGGCATTATAACCAACTTTTCTTCCATTCCAATACCCCATCCCTCCAGAAATCTTAATAGGCTTTTGAGAGCCTCCATTTAAAGCTGGCTGCATAAAATGATCCTTTGATGAAAAGGGATTGAAACAAGGGTTAAAGTAGACATTGAAAGGTTATTGTAGAGGGCACATTGTTCATACAATCCTCCTTTAATATGTGTGGTGTGCACCTGCGATAAGATGATTCATTAGATAAGGCCTCACTTTGACAAGCTCCATCGTTCAACCCTCGGGGTAGTGATGGAACAATTCTGCACCCACCCAGTAAATATAACAAGGTCAGCATTTTTTTCCTAGGACTTGGATGGGGAGAGCAAAGCTCAGGAAGCATCTTTGTTTATGCTTTATGTAAAAAAATATCCCCATAAAGTTTGAGGATCCCTTTTCTCTTTTCTTTTATTGACCAGAATAAAAAAAAATAACCTTTCCTTCTCCAGTAAATAACTTGGCAGTACAAAATTATGGGGAAGGAAGGAGAAACAACCATTTGTGCTTTTTTGAATTATATGTCAAGAGCTGTAGGACTAAAACTTTATAATTACTGATGTCCAAAGCTGTGCTAGTCTATCAAACATCTATAGTAATGTCTGGCATCTGCCAGAATGTTTCTTCTTATCAGTATTACTTCTAACAGCACATTTATTTTTGGATACATGGTACACAGTTAGCACGGCTAATCTTAAATTATGCTAATCTATTTTTACAACAAGTCTATGACATTACAACTGTTGTGAAACAAACAGTTGCGTTAACTTTATTACTGGTATTTGATATGAATAGAGCCAGTTAATGGCCATGATTCAGAAAAATACGTAAGCATGTGTGGTTAATGGGATTGCTCTCATGCTCAAAGTTAGGTACTTACCTCCCTGAAAGGGAACCTATGGCAGGACAGGATTATTCATGTTTAGAGTAATACCAGATTTTTAAAAGCAACACATCCTCTCAAATTAGTACCAATGACTAACGGATCCATTAAAGAATTCTGGATTTTATTAATTCGGAAATGAGTAAACAATTATGTGAACTCAATCAAGGATACCGCATTGCCAAGTTGTCTTTGTTGATTTTTTTGACAAATGTATCATATTTTATAAGTGTTTCATAGCAAATTTATAGAAGGACTCATAGCAGAGTTTGTAGAAAAAAAGCCATCTTAGTAATACTGTAGTAATACAGTTCTTTGTTATTCATTCTTTGTTTAGAAATGGAGAGATGCTTCTAGTATTTTTGGTGAAATCTAGGAAGTTCTTGAATTAGTGAGAATCAGGAACAATATTCAGATTGCTTTAAAAATACCACTATCTCATTACGGTCATCTCTTTTAAAAGCTTCATTATGAAACAGAAAAGCTGAACTTGTTTTTACTTGAAAGAAATCCTTTATTGTAACTTCTTCTCAGCATCCCTACATTTTTCTATTTCTTACCTGTGCTGGTCATCACTATCTATTTATCCCAATGATGTGCATTTTCAAATCACTATTATGCAAAAGGAAATTCATTTTTATCAGAAGAACAATCTGCAATAAGAATTTACTGTTTTCTCCATCTTCTACTCACCTGTCCTTGTGCATTAGTGACTAGTTGACCTGTGACCCCCTGAAGACTGGAGAGTGCATTGCCAAAGGCCTGCGAGCTTGCTATTGAGCCCATGGCTGCTGCCGCTGCTGCCGCTGCTGCTTGACTTGCTAGTGGATTATTAACCAGCTGAAAAAGAAAGAAAAGATCACAGTAAAACCACTGATAAACATGGGAGCAGACAAAGTGCTAAATGAATACCATATATACATGCTACAGTCCTAACATGGTGGAATATTACAATTTATCACTAGAGTTTAAGTAGTTCTTTTGAGAGGTTTCTATTTCTGATGCATTGGTTTCTTTGACAATTAATATATTTAAGAATCATAGAGGAAATTCCACGTTACTGCTGAAGAACCCAGTTGCAGTTTTTTAAATTTGGAGTTATGTTTATAATACTTCCTTAGTTGCATAAGAGGTCTAAGTAGTTTGATCTTACTTCTAAGTGAAGTCAATGAAAGTTCAGCTTTTGATTTCAATGGGAATGAGATCAGACATTTAGATTGGAAAGATATATTTTTGCAAGTAGATCCTGTAGTGCAACCTGCATTTAACTTCTGAATCTAATTGTCAGAAAAAACTGTAGCCCTATTAGCTTATACATGGATGGAATATGCAGCAACACAAACAAACACAAATCACGGCCTTGAACTTGACCTATGATTAACTTAATTGGAACTGATAATACAGAACAATCATCACAATTCTTTATTGACAAATACTGCAGGAAACATATTGAAATAGCTCTTATTGTTTCGCTCCTGTGAATAACTCATTCCAGAGCTCATGTAAATTTCTCTGTCTTTCTATAAACTGCACTTCCTTGTGCATTACTACATGCTCAATATACAATATAGAGTACTGTAACATTTTCACTGACAGGCCAGTTTTCAAATGGATCCCTTAACAGGATGGTCATATCTCACATAAGAAGCCTTAAACAACATAGCTGGCATTTACATGTTTAATACAAATTATGGTGTGCTACTGTGGGATTGTTATGGACTCTTATGCTGCGTCCACACAAGTGAATGTTTGGTTTCCTGGGGACAACCAGCAATGGTGCACTTTGTGCCATTGTCCTCAGGGAATGCGTGTGCCATGTGCCCTCTGGTGTGTGGCAGGTTACCCTAGGTGGGGTAGGGGAGGCTGGGGCCAGCACTGGGTTGGCCCCAGCAGCCTTACCTGGGCTCCTGGGGTCCTTCCAGGGCTGCAGCAGTGGTGATCCAGGCATGCGGTGCCTTGCTGGTAGCCAGTGTGTGGCCAGGCTCCCGTTTTCCGCAGCACATGCTGCCCCCATGTCTGTCGCTCAGCGTTTTTTTCCATGTGAGTTTTTTGACCCCTGGATGTCCAGGGGTCAATTCCCCCTCCTCCCCCCCACACTGCTCCCATGCAGCATGGAGAGCAGCTGAATGTGCATTATGTGCCTGCAGCACCACATAGTGCATGGCTGTGCTCGTTTGGATATAGCCTTAGGGTCTGGTACTGGTCATTTATGCCATATCTGAGATACGATGGCCATGGATGCCATCTATGAAGATAAAGGGAGGAGGTTTCATTCTGTGTTCATTTACTCTGCAGCAGGATAGAAGATAGTGTTACTTACCTTAATGCCAAAAATAAGACACATAAGGAGCTGACATAGTACATACTTGTATTGTGCATTTTTCTGGTGAAGAAAGTAAACTAGGAATAGATGACAATAAGAAAGCAGAGCCTTCCCGGCTTGCTCAGGGCTGAAGGCTGGCACCCCTCTTTTTTCCTTGGTTCTGAAGAACAGCCCTTCTGGATGATCCCTAAACTATTTTGGTGAGCAAAACAGTGGAACCAAAAACTGCCATTACTATAGATTAAAATGAAGTGTGAGGATAAGTCCAAGTCTGAATCTTTCATTTTTTTCCAAAGTACAGTTGCATAAGGTTTATTCAAATAAACCCTTTATTACAGAAGCTAGATGGTCTACATTAATTTTAAGTATGTGCAAGTTAGAAATACAGGGATCTAGAATGGGAATCTTCATAAAATGAATTACCCTAATAGCTGGAATACCACTGCTGGGAATAATGAGCTAAATCCCTCTAAAATGTTATATGAGGCCTTCATTTGTTTTTGCAGTGGGTTAGGCATATATATGGTTATGTTTTCATTGGCTCTTATGCTTTACACCTTCATTCCAAGACACCTAAGAGCAGAAAATGGATAACTTTTGATAATGGATAATTATTTTTGTAAGGCATTTTCACATTTGCAGTTTCCTCTTCTGAGAATACAGAGACAAAGGTGCCTGGGGTGGAATATAGATGATTGCTACTGTAAGGGGGACAGCCGTGTAAGTTGAGAGAGAGTCTCTGAGAGACTTTGTACATGGTTTAGTTTGGAGTTATCCTCAAAGATCAACCCAAATCTCTGGCCTCAACTTGTGCATAATGGTTTGATGGGCAGATGCTACATAAATATGCAGTTGAGGTGGCATATATATTTCTTAGACATGTATAAAAATACACTGAGGCTAGCACAGAGAATTTGTACATCTGAAATTTGACAGGGAAATGAAATGAGTGTCAATGCATGAAACAACAAGTGTATTTTCAAGTCTGTAGAGCTGGAGAATCCCAGATATAAAAAAGGGTTATAATTTAGAGCAGCTCCATTTTTAAAGGGGTTATAAAATTTTAATAAATGTTTTAGATGTTGCAGGCATTATACTGATACAAGTAGTGTCTATGATAGATTTCAGAAATACATCAGCTGAGGATGTAAGAAATGGTTATAATCTATTCTGACAAGAAGCCCTCTTATTATAGGAATTTAGGATTGAAGGGGCTTCCTGGACCATCAAATCTAGTTCCTGGCATTCCCGGGCAACATATTTTTCAAAAGGGCCCACAAGGATATCTACTCTGACCTCTCTTTCATGTTACCATCACAAAGCATTCGATAAAAAAACTAACATGCATGTCTCAGGTAAAGCACAGGAGACACAAGGATACCACCAATGCCTCATCCTTATAACGACAGTAAATGAGTTAAACTCAGATGACCCTAAAAAGTGGACCATACCCAACACTACTGAAGAAGGCAATCCCCTGTCTCCCTCAGTTCTTCCAAGCCTGGCTCAAGGGAGAATTTCTTACTGATCCCGTATTTGGTAATCAGTTTGATCCTGAGCACAAGTGACTGAGACCCATCACATACCTAAAAGGATTTTTTTTTCTGTTGGAGTCTATAATTATCTACCACATTTGATTAGCTGTGCATTAAAATATCTATTCATTTATTAATCTTCCAAAAGTACTTAAAAATGGAACATTGCTTTGTTTGCCCAGGGATCTAGGATCTGTAGACTGAGGCTAGAGTTTCTCCACGACCTTTAAAATTTGCAAAATAGAGAACTTTAAAAAAAAAAAAAAGCTTTAACAATGGAGCTGGAAAGAACCGATGGCATGCTTTGGTGAATTTTTTAAAATTTTATTTTGTGTGAGAAAAATTATACTGGAAATGTAAAGAAACCAGATCATTCAGACTGGAGGAACCTGGCAGTAATAAAACTAGACAGGAAAACAAGCAGCCTTTCATTCTTTATGGATGAAGGAACCTCAATTACCTCTCCTGCTCAGCAGCACCAAGGATAGAGTGGAAGAATATGAACAGGGTCAAATTCTACCCTAATATAGGCATCTAGCTGGAATGGTTTAGATCTTGTGAAACCTACATATATGCAGGAACTTGGACTAAATGACCTTCCAATTCTCTAATTCAGGGGTTTTCAACCTTTTAAAATAAGTGTACCCCCGGCAGCCCCCTTTTTAATAAGTGTACCATCGGGGGGGTGGCGAGTGGCCGGATGCAGAGTGTGGGGGGGTGGTGAGCGGCCTGATGTGGAGCTGAGGGCAAGCGGCCAGACACGGAATCGGGGGGTGGGTGAGGCAGTGGCGCAGGGTGGCAGTGCTCTATCCCTGCCCACCCCCGTATACCCTCTGGCACCTTTCAAAGTACCCCCAGAGGTACGTGTACTCCTGGTTGACAACCCCTGCCCTAATTTTATGATTTTGTGGCCCAAATTATGGTCCAAATTAAGGTAGAATTTGGCATACTGCATATAAATAATAGAACAAATCTATTGTATTCACACACATCCTTCACTAATGTTAATGGCTTTGCCTGGGCAGGATGAGGACTTATGTACTTGGCTATTTGTTGTAAATAAGGAAGAAAGCAAGTGGCCGGTTTTCAGAAGCAGCTTTCAAATGCATACGTGCAACTTGGTGCCTAGAAATCATTGCATCATTCTACAAACACAGATGATTGGAGGTACAAATGATAATCTTTACATATCACTCTAATTGCATCAGTAAATAGGAACAACCAGATGTTAGAATCTGTGCCCACAGTTAAGTATGGATGCACTTATTTGGAGGAACACAAGTCTGTCTGTGAAGATGGGAACTATTAGAAGTTAGAGCCTAGGCTTTGGAAGGCAGAATGTAGAAAAAAAAAGATTTTTGATGAGCTATGGCCTAGAACTGACCTTTTCATGATGATGCTGTACTACAAGATGACTGCCAGCTTCTCTGTCCCTGCCAGGAAGCAGAAGAGGGCGAGGGGAGCAGTGGTGTGCACAGTTCAGTATTAACCCTTTCACAGCTGCTCTAACCATTTTTCGTCAAGTTTTATGCCATTACAAGGGAATTGGGGGTATGCAGTACTGGGTTGTCTTTATCCTTCTACACCACCATATTATGAGATTCTGGCAAAGAATATCAGCTTCTCTATTTAAGATACCCCAATTTTGGGGGGCTGATTTTGGGGGGGAAATGTGTGTGGTATATAAGTAAGTATGGTAATTTGGGATGCTGAGACTCTTTAGGGCTGTCACTTCCAGTGCCTGAGTTTTTGTTCCCACTCAAAGCAGCAGCCATAGAACCATGTAGTAGAGATCTTGGTTTAAAGTGACAGGCTGAAACTTCTCAAAAGTGCCTCTATTAATGCAATGATTATTTTAAATGGCAAACCTTATGAAGAGGACTCTGTCATGTCCGAGCTGATCTAATACATTTTCCTGACTTCAAAATCTAAACTTTTAGAAAAGTTGTTGGACATGGGTAAATCAAAATAAATCCATTGAA